GGCCTTTACCCACTTGGGGATTAACTCTCAAACATGCAAATATTTTCCCCTCAGCTTTGTCCTTTGGGTTCCTTCCTCCCCCTTTTAAGTCTTTGAGAAACTTAAAGGTTCAGTCTTTTCATTTGCAACTTCTAGGTTTTATATATGATTTAAGGCTTTTACTAAACCAATATTATAAAGATCTTCCCGTCATATGCTCCACATTTTCTTTTTTTACTTTTATGGGTTTGTTTTTTACTTTTAAACATTTTATCCATTTGCACTTTTTTTTAAATTGTAAGGAGTTAGGTAGAGATTGGCTTTGTTTTCCTAATAAGCTAATTGTCTTAACACACCATTTTTTACTAATCCATTCTCCCCACCTGATTTGAAATGCTATCAAATTCATTACATACCAAATTTCTGTGTGTATTTGGTTAGTTTCTGTTCTCTAGATCTCCGCAAGTCCATTCTTAGGCCAAATTATACTATGTGGATTACTGTAATTTTAGAGTTTTGTTTTCATTTACATTTATCTTATTTTTATTAATTATGAGCAAAGAGATTAAAAAATCAATTCTAAAGGACTTATAACAGCTGCCCTTCTCACTTGTAAAGTCAGTATCAATTTTGAGATTTTGATTTTTAAAAAAGTCACTTTTTTTGGTCTGGACGTTTTTGGGATTTGGTGTTTTGAAATTTTATTTTGATGTATGTTAGTGTGAACCTTGCCATTAATGTCTTAGGCATTTTGAAGGTCCTATTACAAATTTAAGTGTAGTTCTGGGAAAATTGTGTGTGTGATGTCCCTCCCGTTTTCTGGTTATTATCTCTTTCTGGAACTTAGGTTAATGGGACATTAGACTTGTTGATCAGTGTGGAAAGCTCAAAGTGAGCAGTGGGAAGAGAAGTAGGAGATGAAGTCAGACAGCTAAAGGGGAAGGTAGGTCTTATGAGCCATTATAAGGACTTCCACTCTAAGTAAAGTGGAGAGCCAAGGAGGGGTTTTCAGCAGAGGAGAGACATCATCTGACTATAGGATCACTTTTTAAAATGAAAACTGCAACTCTCAGCCTTACTGAATAAGAGGGGATTACTGGTATTTGAAGATATAGTTAGAATAATAGTTAGAATACACTTTTTAGTAGCTAGAAAAATTTGTCCCTGAATACTTAAAATTCAAATGGTACAATAGATGTGCTTTTAAAATCAAACAAAATATTTTTCTTTTTGTGTATTTTAAATAAATTTTTAATTCAGTTTTACTTTTGAATAGCTTGTTTTAATTTATCTACTGTATTTTTATTAGTATTTATGTGTAAGGAAGCTGTTAATTTGTTTAATTGGTTGCTTAGTTCTAGGTTTTCATTTGGTTTTGTTGGTTTCCTAGCTATAAAGTAATTATTTTCAAATCTCTTCTTTAAATATATTTTAAACCTGAGTACATTGCTTGATTGTTCTAAAACTGTTAAATGTTTTTTATTATTTATTACTATGAATAGTTTAACTATTAATGGTGTTACATGCTTTCATTTTTCTTTTTCTTTCAAAGAACATTAGTTTTGTGACTGTTCATCTTAATTTCCTCTCTTCCACAATAGTTTTCTTGGCAGGCATCCTTGTTTTGTCCTGTTAGTGGACTTTAATGGGATTACTTCTGGTTTTCACCTTACTGGCTTAATATATTATCTGTGTATATAAAATCTTTTAACAAATATATACAGCTTAATGTATATTATGTGATGTCTTAAAATACTCGTTCTATACCCACCTCTTTTATTGGAATTCTCTCTCCTTTCTTAATCCTCACCCGATGTGTTGGTTTTTTTTTTTACAGAGAGGGAGAGGGATAGAGAGTTAGAAACATCGATGAGAGAGAAACATTGATCAGTTGCCTCCTGCACACCCCCTACTGGTAATATGCCCACAACCAAGGTACATGGCCTTTGACAGGAATCAAACCTGGGACCTTTCAGTCCGCAGGCCAACGCTCTATCCACTGAGCCAAACCGGTTACGGTCCGATGATGTTTTTCCATTGATTTTAGAGAGAGTGGAAGAGAGGGAAAGACTGAGAGAAACATCAATGTGAGAAAAACAACACATCGATTGGTTGCCTACTGCACACACCCTGACCAGGGCCCGAGCCTGGGAGGAGCCTGCAACCGAGGTATGTGTCTTTGACTAGAATTGAACCCGGGACCCTTTGGTCCACAGGCCAGTGCTCTATCCACTGAGCCAGACTGGCTAGGACTGGAATTCTCTTTCCTTTTAAGACTAGCATTTTATGAGATATTTTCAACAATAAAAATGAATGCCTTTTCTCTTTAGACTTTAATATGATGTTAGCTCAAAAGATTGAGCCTCTCGAATTTGTGAAGGAGTGACACCTTTTAAATTTATTATTGGATTATATTTACTAATATTTAAATTTAGGAAGGTCCCATAGCATAGAGGTTAAATGCCTCATCTCTGGAGCCTCATTGTATTGCGTTCAAACCCCAACCTCTGTTATCTAACTTCTCTGGGTCTATTTGCTCAACTGTAAAATGGAGATAAGTTGTTGTTCTCAGCACATAGGCAAGGAGTGGTAAAAAGTCAGTAGGAACTAGCATTAATATTGTGATGTACAAGTTGTTAAAATACTTGGTCCATTCTTGGCTATGAGCCTTCTTCCTTGTGATCTAGCCTCTAAAAGGATAATATGTGGCACAAAAAGAGGGCCTTTAGGACTAGGCTCCAACCTAGCCTAGCTCTGGCATCCTTCTGATGGGTTTGGTAACTATTCTATATCTGCTGTTAAATATTTGGACCCTCAAGCTTGTCAGATTGTTTTGAGAATAAATGAGTTGATGTTATGAACCTTGCCTATCTAGACCAGTGTCTGGAATATATATATTAAGTACCATATAATAGTGTTTTTTATTATTTAGAATTTTTTCAAGATTTTTCTCTGTGATTGGCTTGATGAAATGTAGGGAATTTTCTTTTCTGGATATAGTTTAATAAAATTTTTAATAAAGGAATTACCTTTTGAAATTACTATGAAAGTGCCTGGGACTGTTATTTGGAGTGGTTGGGAGCTAAATCTTTGACAATTTATTCAATTCTTTGGAGGTTATCTAGGGGTTTGTTTTCTAGTCTACTTGATTCCACTTGATAATTTGCATTTTCCTAGAAAACCATCAATTTTACCTGCATTTTAAAATTTAGTAGCTTAAAGTTTCCTGGAAACTTACTTCATACTTATTTTGGTTTCCTCTGCATCTTCTTATTTTTTAGTTCTAATGTTATGTAAGTTATTTTAGTCTAGTTAATGGTTTATCTGTTTTGTTTTTTCCTTCAAAATGCAACTCCTCTGTTTTAGAATTAAATGTATTAGCTTCTGCTTCCTAGTGTATAACTCGAGAATTTCTTAAATTCCTTTATTCTGATTTTCAAAGTATTTTATTTTCTAATCTTGAGTTGAGTGCTTAATACATTTAATTTCAACTCTTGATCCATTGAGTATAGCTTTATTTGTGTACTAAAGGCTTTTTATATAGGAAGCTTTTATAATTGTTATTTACTAGATAGTCTGTATTGCTTTTGGTTTTCATCTTTGAATGGAGAAAGTTTAGGGTGAGATAGTATATAAGTGGTCAGGTCTCCTCCACTAAGGAGAGTAGCTTAATTTGCTTCATTGTCAGATTATGTACTCTATCATTTCTACTTTTTTGAATTTTGAGGTATTATAGTGTAAATAGATGATCAGTTTTTATAAATGTTCCATAAGGATTTCATCCCATTCCTTCATATGTCCAGCCATTTTATCATTTGTTTTGTTTGATCTTTCAGGACTGAAATGGTGATTACCTTCTATATTTATTTTTGTCCAGTTTTCTTTAAAGTTTTGATTCCAAATATATATTTGTAGGTTTTGGTGTATATAGTTTTATAAACATTATATCTTCTTTATAGATTATAATTGTGATCATTTAAAAATGTGACCCCCCCCCCTTCTTTTTTGGCCACCTTTAGTGTTTACTTTGAATGCAACTGGTTTTAGGAGTGTTTACACTTGCCTGGTATGCTATTGTCTAACATTTTGCTTTTAACCCCTCAGTCTTTGTTTTAGGTTTGTCTCATGTAGACCCCATGTAGTTGGAGATAAAGATTAGTCTTTTTGACCCAATCTGAGCTACTTGTGGCCTGGCCAGTTTGGCTTAGTGGTTGAGTATGAACCAGGAGGTCACAGTTCAGTCTAGGAACAAGCCTGGGTTGCAGGACCCATCCCCAGTGTGTGGGGGTGTGCTGGCAACGGCCAATCAGTGATTCTCTCTCATCCTTGATGTTACTATCTCTATCTCCCTCTCCCTTCCTCTCTGAAAACAATAAAAATATATATTAAAAAAATAATTTATATTGTATGTTTGGTTTTGCTTCTGTAATATTCTTTTTTTTTCCCATCTTACCTTTTTGCTTGGTTTTCTTTTCATTTTTCTTTTTAAACTACATGGTTTATTTTCTTTGTTTTTCCTTTGAGTTTGGAAGTTATATACTGTATTTCATTATATCTAAGGTACCATTGATTGTAAAATGCCTCTTTATGTTGATAGCCACTAATATGGCTAAGTACTGTCAAAGAAATATGCATGCTGATTTTAGATACTAAAATATGAAAAAAAACTATCTTAGAAAAGATGAAATATGGTAGTTTGTTAATAGGCCGGTGGCCATTATTATAAAGCTGTAATTTAAAAATATTTAAATCTATTATGTTTAACAAATAGATTTTTCTGTTTGAGGAGTAGTTATTTGAATGGTGTATTCTCAGGGTTCCTGTATGTTTAAAAATGTCTGTCACTGGTTTTCACAAGTGAAATGATATTTTGGTTTGTTATAGAATTTTTAGTTACATTATCTTCCCCTTAGTAATTAGTAGACATTATTCCATTATCTTCTGGCGTCTAGGGTTACTCTAGAGAAGTCTGGGGTGAGCCTGACTTTCTTTTTCCCTTTGTAGGTGACCTACTTCTGCCTGGGTATTGGTAGAATTCTTTCTTTATCCTTGAAGTTCAGTAACTTCATCAGGATATATCTCGGTCTTGGTGTGATTCTCTATTACATTTTCCTGTTACATGGTAAGCCGTTTCAATCTGCGATTTAGGAGTATTTTCTTATATATCTTTTAATATGTTTTCATTTTTGTTCTCTTCTTAAGGAATGTCAGTTTTATGATTGTTCATCTTCATTTCTTTCATTTTTTATTTTTCTAAATGCTTCTTCCTTTGTTCTTTTCAGCTGTGTTCTGTGTAATTTTCTTGAGATTATATTTCATTTCCTAAATTGGTTTTCATCAGTATCAGGTCTACTACTTCTTTTATACTATGTAGTTTTCATTTTGCCAATGGCTTCAGTACTTCATTCAGTTTTGTTTATTTATGTCTGAGTTGCCCTTTCAGTTTGTCTTGTTTATCCATTGTTTTTTTTCCCCCCCCCCCCCCCCAAGACCTTTCCTTCTTATGGTCAAAACAGTAAAACCACATTGTTTTTGAGAAGGTGGGTAAAACCAGTTTCAAAGCAGCTAATATCGAAATTTATTCTCCAAGAGCACAAAACAAGTGATAAGTAAAATTGTTTTATCAAGTCATGCTATGTTAATGGCATGAAATGTGGAAAAGCTATTATTTCCTGCAGAGTAAAAGACATTTCTTTTTTGCAGTTGGATAAGCTTTTTTGTATACAATAAACATCTGTTTTAGCCATGTGTGCCTTTTGAATTCTCTTTCTGTTTTTTTTTTTTTTTAAATATATTTTATTGATCTTTTACAGAGAGGAAGGGAGAGAGATAGAGAGTTAGAAACATCGGGGAGAGAGAAACATCGATCAGCTGCCTCCTGCACATCTCCCACTGGGGATATGCCTGCAACCAAGGTACATGCCCTTGACCGGAATCGAACCTGGGACCCTTGAGTCCTCAGGCTGACGCTCTATCCACTGAGCCAAACCGGTTTTGGCTCTCTTTCTGTTTGATTATTTATTTTGAGAGAAACATTGATTTGTTCCACTTATTTATGCATACATTATGCATTCTTGTATGTGCCTTGATTGAGGATCAAACCTGCAACCTTGGCGTATCAAGGTTGTTCTAACCAACTGAGCTACCTGGCCAGGCGCCATGTGTGCTTTTTGTATGAGAGAGGTGTTCAAGGACTTTCCCCCTGTTAATTGTTGAAATCTATTGAAGATATTTTTTCATTCACTAAGTTGTAGATTAGAAAATAATTCATTGAAATCTTGACTGACAGGCTCTGTTATCCATGTGTACCCCAATAAAAGACCTGTTATGTGACTTTCACCTGGATTCTAATTTGCTCTTTGATTTATTCTGAAGAAATGAAGGTGATCAACAGTGTGCCTCCTTGATCTCCAGGGTTGAAGGAAATAGTGAAAATTGTGAATGTGTGCCAGTTGTGGTTACTGAGAATAAGACTTTCACTGTGATTTATTAAAAAAAAAAGTAAAAGACTTCTACACCTTAAAGTATCTTAACTGTTAAGACACCGACTTGCGCCTGGCCAATCGACAGGGCCCACAGTCCTCTCTCCTCCCCTTCGTCCAACCCCCCTATAAAACCCCTCTCCCCACAGAGCTCACTCTCTCTCTGCCGCTTGCCGCTGTGTCAGTGAGTGTGGTCGGGGAGCCGAGCTAGCTCGAATAAAGACTCTTTGCTTTTGCATGGGGCGGGGGGGGGGGGGGGGGGGGAGTATCTTAACTGTTTAAGGCATAGGTTCTCTGATGTTGTTTTTTTAAAATGATGGCTGAGATAATGTTACTGTTGATGTTAACCAAGGTTATTTTAATTATTTCAGTAGGTTTGCACATTCATTATGGCATAGTTATGTCAGCAATATATTCAGTATTGTGAATGACCTTACTTGATTGCTCCAGAGTATAATTCTTAGCTTATCCTTATAATTAAAATTACCAGAATTTCTTTTTAAAAATATTTTTGTTGATTTTAGAGAGGAAGAGAGAGAGAGAAACATCAGTGATGAGAAAGAATCATGATTAGCTGCCTCTTGCACGTGTCCCCTGAGTTAGAGGTACAACCAGGCATGTGCCCTGACTGGGAATCGAACCGATCTCCTGGTTCATAGGTTGACACTCAAACACTGAGCCACAATGGCTGGGCCAGAATTTAATGACTCCAAACCAGGGGTCCTCAAACTTTTTAAACAGGGGGCCAGTTCACTGTCCCTCAGACCGTTGGAGGGCCGGACTATAGTTTGAAAAAAACTATGAACAAATTCCTATGCACACTGCACATATCTTATTTTGAAGTAAGAAAACAAAACGGGAACAAATACAATATTTGTATTTGCATGTGGCCCGCGGGCCGTAGTTTGAGGACCCCTGCTCCAAACTGTTGTGCTTGGCTGCCAATTGTTAGCATCTTCTTAAGATGATATATATTTTTAGACTATTCTATTAACTCAACAGATACTTACTGAGGGCATACTACATGCCAGGGACTTTAACAGGTGCTAGGTCTAACTCAGTAAACAAACAAAAATCCATGACCTTTTAGGGCATACATTCTAGGAGAGGTGGGGGAGATAAACAGAATTAATAGAAAGCTTTAGAGTGCTAGAGGAAGTAAAACGGAATAAAATAATGTTTAAGAGTAATAAAGAGTAAGGGTATGAAATAAGAAGTTTGGAAGAGTGTGGAGATTATAATTTAAAGCAGGGTGATATTTGAATAATTGGGAGGCCTTGAAGTGGGGACATACTTGAATGTTGAAAGATGATAAAGGAGAGAGCAGTTATAGCTGAAGCCAAGTGAATGAGGTAGCAAATGAAAGGTTGAAAGATATGCTAGTTAATTCTGATGGAACTTTTGGGTCATCATACATGCTATTACTCTAAGTGAAAGTAGTGACATGATCCGAATTCACATTTTTACAGGATCATTGACTGCTGGGCTGAGAATAAATACACTAAGAGATTTTACATAGTACCCCAGTACTCACATTTAAGTAAACATTTATAACTGAAATGAAAACACCAATGTCTCTATTTTACTTTTTATTTTTATTATGAAAAAGAAATGTTCTTTATGTTCCACTAGGTCTATTTCATGACTGCACAACTTACACTTGAAAAACATTGCTAAATGAAACACAGCCTCAGCCTTAGTGAGAAGGAAGTAAAACATTGGGGAATTGTGTATGAAAGGAAAATGAACGAAGTATAAAATTAAAAGGAATAAAAACTGAAAATCAATATTATATATACATTTAGCTTAAACAATCAAGTAATCAAATAGCAGTTATACAAAAGGCCTAATAATGACTAGCCTGACTCCCCAGAGGCAACTAATTAAAAAAAACCTTTTTGGTTCAAATTTCCTGGGGCTTAAACCCCATGTTTCTAAGTAATATGCTTATAGTGTTTATTTTTTTGATTTATCAACTTTAGACATTCTCTGTTGACTTCTTGCTATGACAGATGTTTTCAGTCCCACTTCTCACTACTGACCTTCCTCGTACGACGGTCACTGAACTGGTGCCTTTCTGGGGTTCTGCCCAGAAGATTAGCTTCTTCCTTCGCTGCCGCCCCCTATGTGAGTATTCTGCTCTTCTGCTCCCTCCACTCTTGCTTAATCAGTTCACATTCTTCCATTTGTTTTTTCATCTTTCAGAACTGTGAACGATCTAACCCTAGCCTCCAAATATTTTAAAATAAAAAGTTATTTTAAAACTTCTTTAGAAAATGTATTTAATTAAGTTATTAGGAAGGAAAGGAAGTAAACACATGTGCTCATACTGACACCTTGAACTGGAAGATAGAAGTTTAGGCCAAAGTTTTTTTTTTTAAAGTATGTATGTGTAATGTGTTTTTAAAAAAGAATTAGATATATTTACAATATTTTATCTTTTAAAAACATATTATAAATATTTCCCATGCCATTAAATACTCTTTCAAAGTTTTAAAAATAGATATATAGTATTATTTTATATACTGGTATCATACTATTCTCCAAATTTTGACTTTCAGGTTGTAGTTTTTGAATTACATATAATTATAAATTACTTAATTTATAGCTAATGCTTCTGTCGATTTTCCTTATGTTAACTATGGTCATCATGTTGTGTGTGTGTGTGTGTGTGTGTGTGTTTTTAAAATATATTTTATTAATTTTTTTACAGAGAGGAAGGGAGAAGGGATAGAGAGTTAGAAACATCGATGAGAGAGAAACATCTATCAGCTGCCTCCTGCACGCCCCCTACTGGGGATGTGCCCACAAACAAGGTACATGCCCTTGACTGGAATCGAACCTGGGACCCTCCAGTCCACAGGCTGACACTCTACCCACTGAGCCAAACCGGTTAGGGCTATCATGTTGTGTTTTATATCCCCAGTACTTATTAAATTTGTACCTCGTTGATATTGTTAATAAATATCACCAATTGTCTCTAAAATGTACCAATTTATATTTCCATTATCATTGCATTAAAAAGTAAAATGCCACTTTTTGCCATGTTCTTAATACTCTCAGGTACTTCTAAAAATGTTTGATTCTGCTAGGTAAAGGAATATAAATTTATTTTTAAAGATTTCAAGAAAGTTGGAGACTTCTTGACAGTTTTGAATTGGATACATGTGGGCTGGTTGTTTTAAAGGTTTGTAAGAGCAGTTGTTTGCCTTTTAATTAAAAACTTTATTTAAAAATACATTGTTATTAATTTCAGAGAGGAAGGGAGAGGGAGAGAGATAGAAACATCAAAGATATGAGAGAATAATTGATTGGCTGCCTCGTGCATGCTCCACACTGGGGATTGAGCCCACAACTCAGGCATATGCCTTGACCCAGAACTGAACCGTGACCTCCTGGTTCATAGGTCAACGCTTAACCACTGAGCCATGCTGACTGGGGCTGCCTTTTAATTTTTTAATGGTATTTTGAGATACGGAAAATTTTTTAGTTTTCCAGTTAATTAGGCTTTCTTAAGTTTTCTTTCTTTTTTTTTTTTTTAAATGTTTTATTGATTTTTTACAGAGAGGAAGGGAGAGAGAGAGAGAGTCAGAAAAATCGATGGAGATAGAGAGAATCATTGATGTGAGAGAGATATATCAATTGGTTGCCTCCCACAGACAACCCCAACCAGGGGTGGTGAATGTGCCCTTGATGGGACACTTCAGTCTGCAAGACCCTTTAGTCTGCAGGCCGATGCTCTATCCACTGAGCTAAACCGGTTTCGGCGGTTTTCTTTCTTTTTGACACTTAGATTATTTCCTATTCCTAAAATGAGATAAGATCATAAAAAAATTTAAAATAGCTTTGAAATGGATTGTGTGTGTGTGTGTGTGTGTGTGTGTGTGTGTGTGTGTGTGTGTGAAACTTTTGACAACAGTTGCTTCAAAAACAATTTGCCTGTGGCTTTGTTGAGAAACTCCATCAGGATAATTTAGATTTTGGAGCGATGCAACTTCTAAATATGATCAATTGCTTTGTACAATAGAGATATTAGATTGTTAGACACATCATGAAAGTACTTTATAATGTGTAAAACTTTTTAAATAAATGAGATGTTGTTAGTACTGGCAACTCATTGCTTTGGATGATCTGGGTGGCTAAACTAATCTTTTCATTCAAAAGGCATGATACTTAAGTTTTCTTTTAATGTGTCACCAGGGAATGGATCACTACTTGGCATAATTCCATTAGGAGCTTCTATTGGTGATAGTTTAGTTCTTTTTTTGGGAAAATGAACTCATTTAATTTTAGACTAAGAGAACATTACTGACATTTTAAATTATAAGTAGCAGCATGTTATAAAAATGTTTTAAAAAATAACCTTTTTAAAAAGCCTAAATAGAATCGTAGTAAAGAAAAAATGTTATATGGGGAAGAGAGAAATTTGTTTATGAATTGGCTGCAAAAGATAGACCAATATTATATTGAAGGGATGCCTATTTTCTTAACCATTATAAAAATGTTTTAAATTTTCGATGTATTTATTCTTTTAACTATAGAAATAAACTGATATTTATGAGAAGTTGCTTAATTGGGGAGAGAGAAATATCAGTCTCATTTCACCTGAACATAATTACTCAGGGTTTTGCTTGTGTTTTTTCTCCAACCTTTTTAATATAATTTGTTTACATATTTTATAATCATCTATATGTTACTCTACTCGGTAATATAAACATCTTTTATTTTGCTACACGATTGTCTTCATTGTCATTTTTAATTAAACACAAGAAGCCATCAAGTGGCAGTCATATAAGTTCTCATTTACTCTTTTTTATTATTTATTTATTTATCGTCTAAAGTTTTACATATGTCTCCTTTTTCCCCAATTGACCTCCCTCATTACTCTTGAGAAATTATTAAATTTTAATTTTTTGTGTAGGTGTTTAAGTTTCCTATAGAAAATTGAGTAAATATATAAATTTCAGAGTTGCTTTATGAGTTCTTGGTACCTCAAGCAGATAAGTTATTCTATAGCAGGAGGCTACACATTGGTAGGGGTGGGGAACATCTGGCCCAAGTGCTATATAAGGCCTGAGAAATCATTTGATTTGGTCCTGCCAACTTATTAGGTGTGAGCTAATTAAATGTTTGACCATATATAGTAGGCTAATTTTTAAGTTGATAATTTTGTATGGCTTGCAAATGATGTTATAAAGATCCAAATGGCTCTTGGCAGAAAAAAGTTTCCCCACCCTTGTAGAGGAATGAAACTGGAAGCAAAGAAGTGAGTATGACAGCATCCTTTTTAAAAAAAAACTTTATTGTTGAAAGTATTACATATGTCCTCCTTTTTCCCCTATCAACCCCCACCAGCCCACCCCTGTCCCTCTGCCCCAGGCCCTCACAACCCCACTGTCTCATTTCCATGGGTTATGCATATAGACAGCATCCTTTTTGTTTCACCATCTTCACCTCTCTCTAGTAGTCAGGGTGTAAGGCAGTGAATTCAGACCAAAATCTTAGGCTTTATTGTATCTCTTGTTAATTCTCTTGATATTTATTATGTTCATTAACTACCCAATACATGAAAGAGCTTTTTCTTATGCATAAGGTCCTAAAGTGCTTTTACGAAAAATTTAATATGTCAGTATTTTGAAGAGCATAAAATAATTGCAACTGTAGATTTACTTTAAAAATTAATTTGTGAAAAGTATTTCTAGTATTTTTTTAAAGATCAAGACTAGCATAGGGGATGTAAAGCACATTGGGAATATCTATCTATTTATCTATACTAATAAAAGGGTAATAAGCTAATTAGACCAGGAGACCTTCCGGACGTCCTTCTGGACAAAGCCATGGTGGTGAGGCCAACACAGAGGCGGTTAGGGGCGATCAGGCCAGGAAGGGAGGGCAGTTGGAGGTGATCAGGCCAGGAGTGGGGTGCAGTTGGGAGCGATCAGGCCAGCAGCGGGGGGCAGTTGGGGGCAAGCAGGCCGGCAGGCAGAGTGGTTAGGGGCGAACAGGCAGGCAGGCAGGTGAGCGGTTAGGAGCCAGTGGTTTCAGATTGCAAGAGGGATGTCCCAGATTGGAGAGGGTCAGGAGGGGCCAAGTGACCCCCCCCACCCCATGCGTGAATTTTGTGCACCGGGCCACTAGTCTATACTAATAAAGAGTAATATGCTAAGTAGACCGAGAGACCTTCCGGGCATCCTTTCAGACAAAGCCAGGGGCTTGGCTGGCCTGGAAACTGCCCCCAAACGGCCCTCAGCCCCTCGCCTAGGCCAGTCACGCCCCCCAGCGGGGACCCTCACCCTGATGGGGGCGTAGCCAGCCTGCAAATGGCCCTCAGCCCCTCACCCTCTCCAGCACTTGTTTGTTGATTTGTTGATGATAGCCATTCTGACAGGTGTGAGATGGTACCTCATTGTTTTGATTTGCATCTCCCGGATGAGTAGTGACTTTTAGCATGCTTTCATATGTCTCTTGGCCCTCTGTATGTCCTCTTTCAAAAAGTTTCTATTTAGGTCCTTTGCCCACCATCTTTAATTTTTTGAGGAATTGCTATATTATCTTTGGTAGTGGCTGCACCACTTAACATTCCCATTAGTAATGCATAATGGCTCCAGTTTCTCTATATCATTGTCAACACTTATTTAGCTTTGTTTTATTTTTAATTAAAAAATAACCGCTATTCTAATGGGTGTTTGAAGTGGTATCTCATAGTTTTGATTTGCCTTTCCTTAATGATTAGTGATGCCGAGCATCTTTTCATGTGTTTGTTTGGCCACCTGTATATCTTTGGAAAAATGTCCATTGAAATCCTTTGCCCATTTTTGAATAAACCCCTCACCCCTAAATTTATGAGATATTCTGGACATTAACCCCACATCAGATCTGTGATTTGCAGATTTTCCCCATTCTGTAGGTTGCCTTTGATGCATAAGTTTTTAATTTTGATGGAAGTCTAATTTAACTTTTTTTTTCTTATGTTGCCTGTGTATTGGTATCATATCCAAGAAATCACTGCCAAATGTAATATTGCGAATTTTCCCCTATGTTCTAAGCATCTTATAGTTTTTTAGCTCTTAAATGTAGGTCTTTGATCCATTTCAGTTTATTTTTACATAAGGTGTGAAGAATCCAAC